ATTGCTGCTGTGTCAAAATGAATTTCTCCTTAGGGGGATAAATAAAGGAATTATCTTATCTTATCTTATCTTATCTTATCTTATCTTATAGGACATAAAGTAATAGTGCAAAAACGGAGATAAGGTGCACAGTCAACATCATTCATAGTAAGAAGCTGACTGAGAAAACAAGTTACATAAACCACCAGTGAGGTTTCCTTTGACAGCAGTGACCCCTGCTGCCCCAGTAAACTATTGCAGAGCTCAATATCTCATTTCCCTGAATACAGCAGCATGATAAATGTTACTGTGTAGTGAATAAAGAGTAAAGTGAGTAGGACATACTTCTATTTCTTACTTTTATACAACATTAAAAGCTAAAACTACATAAATGTATACCTGCTGTAGTGAAAAGTATTTGTAAAAGTTTCCTTTAACAACTTTCACCGTTGAATAAGTGTTGTATAAGTGGAAAAAGACAGAAGCCAGGTGTCAGATCGTGTAATGGCAATGCAGGTTCAGCAGCAATAAAAGCAGATTTAGGTTATTGTTATTTTGTTTTACTCCTGGCGAAGCTGATGTTCTTTTATTATTTAATTCATCATTCGTGTTTTTTTTTTACACTTGCCTTAAAAACGCCTTTTGGTAATGATTGAATTAGAGATGTTACCGGTATGTCTGCGATATTTCAGATTGTACGTGAACCCACCACAGTGAGTATCACCGTTGCCGTGGGAACGAGGCTGCGTAACCAACAGAGGAAAGCGACCGCGGTTGACAACGGCAGCCGACGTTAACCATAATTAGTCTGCACAATGGAGACACCTGACAGCACCGCAGCGACAGATGCAACTATAACAGTAACTGTCGTCCGTGGAAATAACCTGGTGAGCTCTTTACACGCGATAACTATTTGTTAACGAGCTGGTTGAGTTAATGTAACCAACGCCTGAACTGATGCAAGTGTTGTTAAAGGTCTAATATGAATGTGCATTGTACCTTTTAGTTAGTTAAAGTTAGTTAAATAAGAAAATAAACCAATATAGACCGATCTGTTATAAAAACTACAGTTTTAAGCAACAGACTGGGAAGATCATGTTAAAACTGTACTGTCACTTAAACTAGCAACAGTGTTATTTATGAATTATGACTAAATATTGCTTACAAGGTGTTAAATGATATAAACTGGTGCATACATGTAAGTTAGGTTTGTTTATGGTTGTGTTATGTTTCTTTATGTTTGTATTTATGTGAGACTTTATATTTATTCGATGCCATTGATGGATCTGGCAGGATAACGAGTAGGTTTAATGTATTTTTGGTTTATTGTTGATGCTCATGAGAGATGGATCATGTTACTAAATGATAAGACATAAAAATAAAATAATTATTAATTGATTCAGTTGTATTCTTTTCACAAAGACAGTTACAGAATTAATTTGCTGATGTTTCACTCAGTTGTTGTTTGTACATGTGGTATCTGTATTATTACATTCACCAGCGGGGAACGAGGAGAAATTAAACGTAAAATTGATGCATTTAATATGTGACTTTGTAAAAACAAGTCCAACGCACCAGTCTCAAAATTGCAGTACAATATTAGTGTAAATTAACAATCCTTATCTGCGTCTTTGCGAGAAAACTCAACATAAGCTGAGTTCTCCTCTCTATATATAACTTTAAACTTTGTATTTTCAGATTATATACCATTTTAATTTTTAAGAGGCCATGAGGGCTCGACAGCATACCAACGAGCCTAATGAGATTTGCTTTTATACGTTACTAACATTGCCAGACGAGCTGAGAAAGCGTGCGGACGACAGTGTCCAACTAATGTTACATATTCTGTTTCTTCTCTTTTCAGCAAGGAAAAAAGCCAGACAGCTTACTGAGTTTTCTGGAGATTCAGTTGGATGGCACAGTGCTGGGAGAGTCAGACAAGAAGCTGTCTGAACCTGTGGAGCAGCGTGTCGACTATAACTTTACCTGCAGTTTCCACTACCCCAGTGATGCTCAGGCTCTCAGTAACATCGCACATAAACCGATCATACGTAAGCTGAGTGGTTCTGTCGTTCTGTCTCCCGATGCCTGACGTGACGGTTCAGCTAGTTGACTTTCTGCAAATTGGACATAAGCGTCTCTTTGTTGCCACACATACTTTAGCTGGTTACGTCTACACGATCACCATACATACTGAAACAATGGAAGAATACCTCCATCGTTTTAGGATGTGTGTGGACAGCAGGGGCAAAATTCATTATGAATGGCTTTAAAGTGATAGTTAATATATTTATATTATTCTGTGGAAAATGTTTCATATTGCATAATATTTTTACTAAGCTGAGAGTTTTGCCCTAAATTCAAAATCGATATCGATAACCAAGTGACAAAGCAAGCCAGCTAAGAAATTAAAATCCATTTCCAATTACACTTCAGAAGACCTGGCTTAACTGTGAAAATAACCAGCTTATGCTTTAATTTTGTAGTTCACTGATGGCGATATTGATAATATGAACACTTATTCTGTGCATATATCCTGCCTTGCCAAGTCCATCCCCCATAAGTCATCCTAAAACATTGAGTATACTGACAAGTTTGCTGCAGCTTAAACTAAAACAATGATCACTAATCGTGTAAAAACACTACTAGTTTTCAGACTGCTGAATGAAAGCAGAGGGAGTTTTCATGCCAGTCCGTACAGCCCTGAGTTTTCACAGCACTGTTTAATGTGAATGGTTATGTTGTCGTCAGTGACAGTGATAGAATTCCTGCCTGAGGAGAAGAAAGCTGAGGCGAAGACAGCGGTGCTGGGTCAAGCTGTGGTCGACCTGCTGCCACTGCTACAAGGTACAGCTGTACCTGTAATTATGTCTTTTTGTATTGTAATAAAACAAAGCGGGTTATCTCCCCAGTCAGTTGCTTAATGTAGAGGTCAGGACAGCAGAAACGCACTTCGAGGAGCTTCCCTTACAGGGCAGGACTTTCACTGTTGGAATGATTTTCTCCTCTGTCGTCAGGTCAGTGCAGCTTCTCGTCCACAGTCCCACTGAAACCAGTGACCAGCTCACCAGCCAAAGAGGTCCAGAACTCCAGCAGCAAGGTCGGTTGGTTAACGACAATAATATCATTGTTATTGTTGGGGTCACAGCAATTGTGAATAACTGAGGTCACATCGTCTGTATTTTTGCAGTTTACACAAGGTTATAGCAAAAGGTTCACATGGTGTGTTCATTTATATTCACTTCTACATTGACAAAAGATCATTATATGTGCTTGAATATGTGTTGGTAGTAGATCTTTAATGGCTTTAATGACTGTTGTTACTTTTCTAAGTGAAATTGATACTACTTTTTTTACTAATTAATTATAGTTCTCTGTTGTGAATTTAAATGTCATAAGTGTTTTTTAGTTTTCTTGTCAGTGTTTTGTGCTGAGTTCTGCCCTTGAATTTGTCTTCTTCATTCATCCATCCATTTAAACTATACCAGCAGCCAAGGCTGGATTACAAGTCGGGCTAAGCAGGAAACTCCCCATGGCCCTCAGACCCAAACACACTCTTCAAACACACTTTGTGTCAGTTGGGTTGTTGTTGTTTTCTTTAATTTATTTAATTCCACATTTCACCATAAAAATCAAAAATACATTATATTCAGGGAAAGGCAGCCATCCCTATGGTTGATATAGATAGGAGAGAAAATACATACTAACTTGTTTTACTCACTGGACAGGGATTTAAAAACATTTAGCTGCTATCTGGTAAAATGTGGTTTAGTTTTGGGTTGGGCAATATGACAATATTTAGAGTGAGAAAATAGAGGTACTGTTGCTATTCCTTTAATGTTTCTGGTATTTGATGTAGTGGATTAATCATAAACAGGCATCATCACATCACATGTGGTTATTTTATCTATAAATGTTTTCTCTATTAAGTCTCCGGAACATTTACCATTTCACAATATGTATTTTTGTAGAAAAAAAAACATTAATGTATAATATTAATACATATACATATACCGTGATGTAGTATTTTATCCATATCTCCCGCCCTGGTATAGTTCATCCAGAGAGCTAGTGGTCTATGAGACCTTAAATAGATAGTAGTTGTTTCTTCTGATTCCTCTATCAGTGAATGTTTTACAATCACAGAGCAGCGGGAATGAGGAGACAGCAATTACAGCCACACAGAAGTCACTGGTCAGCAAAGTCATTTTGAAGTGGAGGAATAAGGTAAATCCATTTGTGCTAACTAGGGAGAATATCCAACCTGCAAAAAAAAAACAAAAAAAAAAACAAAGACTACTAATAGTAGTCACTGAGTTTCAATTATTCACTCAGTGTAAGCTTTCATCCAAAAAAGTAAATGACTCAATATTTTCCCAACAGTGTTTGCAATGGCGCTTAAAACAACAGGTAGGAAATTTAAAAATGGCATTTGCAGGCAATATAACAGTTCATAAATAAAACGTGAATGTGCCTAATGATTTCACCCCCTTTGGCAGTCGACTCTGGATGTGTGTGTCAGTGTATCGGATCCAGTGCTGTCTCAGGCTGAACTCTCAGCCTCCAACCTGCTAAGGGTAACTGTGGAGACAGCCTATTCCGTCCCTGAGTCATGGATGCTGCTGTCTGGCCCTGCCCCCTGCACATACACTGCAGCCCTGGAGGTCCCACTTAGTGCAGAGGTGAGTGTTACACAGTGCCCTTTAATGTAGTTTCTTTATGCCGTTTCACTGAACAGAACCAGTGACAATCACATAACATTTCATTTGAATGTTTAAGGCTAGTGTAGCATTCCAAGAAAAAAAATTGTAGGGACATTTTAAGCCTTTAAGCCATGCCGCATAGTGGCTGTATTATTCTTCTGACTCCCAGAAAGATCAGGTGCTGGTGTTCTGTGAAGGACAGCTGATGGCTGGAGGGCAGAGGGAGGAAATGGGCCGACTGAAGAAGAGGCCACATCAGGCCCTGCTGGTCCCGGGAAACCATTTTCTGCCTGCTGCCTTTTTCCAGGCAGAGCCCATTGAACAGGAGGACGGCGAACTGACTGGCATAGAGGTAACTGCTAATGCAGCCTGCCATACTGCCAATCCTTTCTAATGCCTTGGTGCCTTGATAGATTTTGCAGTATGGCACATTACTGTCACCAACTGTCCATATATGGCATTGCGTGAAAGTGGAGGATGCCATAAAAATACCTTCCATTTGATAGACAGGCTTAAAGAAAATGCCAGTTATTTGATACAAAGGCTTAGTTAATGTATATCTAAAGTAGGAAAAGCAAATTGACCTTAGTAGCATATGTAATACTGTAGTAGATTGAAACATATAAAAAATGTTACTTAGCATGGAAGGTCTGAGGCTGAAGGTCTAAATGCTCCAACAGGACCGGAGGTTTCGCACTGAGGCAGAGATCATGAAGAATAGGGTGAGCTGGGACACAGAGATGTGCTGCTTCGTGGATGCAGAAGGAGTTAACAGGTCATCTACACTCACAACTCACTCTTCCTGACCATCATGCTTCCTGTTGGCCATGACTTTTACGAGATTATTCAAAAAATTGAAAATTAGTCATCATTTTCTTGGGGCTGTGTCTAGAAGTTTTCTACAAAATAACCATATTTCAGGAATATAGTTGAGTGTACTAACATGTCTTTCAGGCCAGATGGAAAGGACATCTGGAAAAGTCTTTTGATCTTTTTACTCTTTTTACCTCAGGACCATGCACTGAACCTAGGATTCTATGATCTGTGTAACACTGAAGTTAACAGGTTGAATGCTTAGACTAAAAGTCAGATCCTTGTGAATAAAACTACAGAATGCATGTCAGTGAATTGCAGCACTGGGTGTGGAAATAGCACTAGTAGACAAAACAGAAAGAGAGATGCAGATTCAGAAAAACACATGAAAATATGTATATCAATGTCATTTCAGGCTGCGGCATAGGATCACTGAGAACAGACTCTGGCCAGTAGAGATTATGAGGTCGTCGGCTCCGCTGTCAAAGGCAGCAGAAAACAAGTTGGTGAGATGGCTTTGTTATCAAAGGATAGGTTCCGAAAGTTTTTAAAACCTGAAGCAAAGATCCATGACAGACTGGCAAATTCATCCAGTCACACAGTGTGTTTGTGTGTGTCTGTGTGTAGCTAGCTGAGGAGAACCCAGAGATCCCCTTCCATGGTGTGGCGTTTGTGGACATGGGCCGGCTGCTGTATCCTGGAGTCAACCGCATTCGAGGAGCATACAGCATTCAGCCTTTCTCTGAGGCTGAGTTGCTGCAAAAGGTCACTCAAATATAAAATATTAATATAAATCATTTGCTTTCATTTTGGTTCATTTATGTATTGTTATTTTATCTAAATCTATATTTAATGGATCAAATATCATATAATGTCTACCAGGAATAACTTATACACATATGAAATTCCATCTGCTTTTAAAAAAAAACAATATCAATATCAGTTTGGTCTCAGTGAGTTCAGTAAAGTGATAAGCTGCACAGGCCTGCTGTGTCTTGTGTGAAACATGAATAAAGACCTCACTTAAAATACTAAATTAGCCTAATACTGGTCACATAGTGTGTTTACTGTAAAGCCTCTATTAAAGTGAGTTTGTCATTGATCTTGTACTTAAAGGCCAATTTGAGTGTCAGTGTGTTAAAGGAGGAGGCCAAGGCTGCAGCCAACCTAGCCAAAACCTGTGCCTCAGCTGCAGGCTCGCACAGGGGTAAGGCCGGGAAGAACTTGGACAAGGGAGCCAAGGAGCCAGCCAAAAAGGTCAGCAAGGTCCCGATGGTCAGAAGAGTTTCATTTTTACATGGAAGTTTAATTAAAAAACCTTTCCCAGGCCTTGGAAAATCATATAAAACATATACTGTAAAACAAGTTTTTGAGTTTTCCAACCTGAGCAAAACCCAGTAGCTGATTTTTTTACCTTTCAAACAAATGATTTCGACGGGATGTCAACAGTAGAAAAACACATTTTTTTATTTTCACCAAACTGTAACCTTGGAAGTCTCAGTTTGTGTTTGTAAAGTTTGGACCCTAATGTATCCTGTTTTTTTATTATGTCAGCAATCTGGCAATCAGAGCAGGATGGCTGGGGCTGGCAGTGTGACCGACAGCCTAACCGAAACTGAGCCAACGCAAGTCAATGCGGAGGGAAATGTAAGCTTCCACTAAACAGCAACATAACTCTATACAGTCGTGCAGTCACAAACATAGTAGGCATCATTTACTGGAAACTGCATTTGAAGTTATAGTTTAATACCTATGCAGTGACAGCAGCAGCAATTTAAGGTTACATTTCTGCAGTACATCTTTAATACTGTTATACACTATAAACCTAGATCTAGATGCAATATTTTGGTATGCCTTCAGCATTGTAACACTTTATTCCTGTTAATGACAGATGTATCTAGAGGCCAGAACTTATATTATCATTGAGATTGCCTTGGAGAAACCACTGGTACCCAAAACAACTCTAGAGGAGCTGGCCACAAGGTAAAGTGCTATATAAATATATAAATTGTCTTCTGGTCACTGAGTTTGACCTGGTTCTATAAATTGGACTGTCTTGCTAGATTGTGGCCCTGAGCTAAAACTTGTGAGCTATCAGAAAATGTTCGCTTCTGAAGTTAACTGGTTAATAAAATGCCCTCAACTCAATTGCCCTCTGGTCTATTACATTACCGTAGCTTCTTGGGTTTCTGGCTGACTGTGGAACACAAATGAGTGAGAATGTGCTAAGATGTGTCTCTGTTTCCTGCAGGGTGAAGGAGTTGATCCCACCCAGATCTTCACTTTCAACGAGTCCTAGCAGAGCAGAAAGAGTAAAACAGACACAGATAGATATACATATACAGATAAACACACACAATAGCACTACAGACCAGTGGAGACTTGCTTACTTTCTATATTCTCTCCACCGTTTCCTCCTCCTGCAGGCAGTACTGGACTTCCACAAGCAGGTAGGCAACATGGTGACTCATGTTACAGACCAGTATAAGGAATTGTTTGGAGCAAGATGCAAGCCGTCAGGAGACTACAGCCAGGAGCAAATGAAGGTTCAGCTGATGGGAACGCTCAGTGTCTCTGCGAGATACTTTGCCTTCAAGGAACAGATGAAGGTCAGAACAACCGCACACATCCCTGGTCGATGGATAAAACTAGCAGGAATCCTAATTTTTTGGAGAAGATCTGCAGCCCTAATTTTTGTCCTGGTGGTGGCTCTTCTATTACCATCTGACTTTATAAATACTGTGTTGTGTGTGTGTGTGTGTGTGTGTTTATGTTTCTGGTGTGTAGCATGCAGTGGTGAAGATTGTACGTGACACGATGCAGCAGACAGAGCCAATCACTGACCCCCAGGAGCTAAAGGTTTTTGTCAGCAAACTCTATGTTTACCTGGTGGATGAGATGCACATAGCTCTCAACAAGGTAACGGACACACACACACACACACACAAACACATATATATATACTACATATTTATGTTTGTATCCTCTCCTCCTAACTAGATTTATTCAGATGATGTTGACGATGACTCCACAGATGAAATCCAGTTGAGTTCTTCTCAGCTCAGACATTTTGCCAGAGAGGCTCAGCTTACTGGGGATTATCAGCAGGCTGTTCAGTACTACCAAGAGGTGCAATAACATGCTCGCCTTTCCTAATACTTTTGCTCCTCACTCAGAATAAACGAGGGAACGAACTTGCTGTAAAACTTTTAGCTATATTCATTTAAATTAATTAAACAGAGCAGGGTTGACAGCCAATTATAGATGTCAATGTATTCACTTTTTTCAGACCTATAAACCAAAATGCCTGCTATAACTGCTATATTGTTTTGTTGATACAAATATGCCTTAATGTACACCCTGGCTTCTGTTTGTTTATTGTCATTGGAGAATATCAGTGTTTTTGTGTGTTTGTTGCATCAGGTGGCAGAGTCATGTTGCAGTAGTAGTGCATTATGATCTCTATGCAGATAATGACTCTAAAATAACTAAGGTGGCTATTGCATTTTGCATTTGTTTTTTTACAGCTAGTGGTAAGGTACCCCAGTGAGCCCTCCCACAGGTTTGAGTGGGGAGGCCTCTACATGCAGACCGGAGACTACATGAAGGCTAAAGAATGTTTTCATGACGCTGTGTCCATCCAACAGGCACACAAACCCAGGTCAGAAATGGTCCAGTTACACTGAAAACAAAACATATCTACAGAATATCAAACTGTACTTCAAGAAAATATAGAAACAGGTGATTCCTGCTTTGTGGGAGGGGGACCCATGAGCACTGAAAACCAGAATGTGTATGCTGCACTGTATATCATGATTATATATCCATAACAGAGAATTAAATAGTTGTCAGGTGTCACAGGACACCACAAACATTTATTTAGTTTTTTCTAGTTTACTGCTCGTAATCAGTGCTAATGCACATCACCAACATAAATAGATAAACGCTCAAACTCATTAACTTTACTTTCTGTCTCTGAACTGGGAAATCAAGACCTGTGTGTCTATATCCTCTTTTCTCTCCAGCCTGATTATGTGTGGGGTCTTGGCAGCGATGTCTGAGCATTACAAGGAGGCCCAGACCTTCCTGGAGCGAGCCACCATCATAGACCCGCCCTCTGTGGTGGCCTGGACGCTGCTGGGTGAGATTAAATTGAATTAAATTAACCTGTGAACCTGCTGCCAACACAGAACGCATACAGAGCTAAAACATAAGACACATGGAATGATATGATTGAACTGATGGATCCCAGAGTTTAACTTCATCATGTGGACAGGTATATCTGTCTTTAAAAGCTAATGACTTTACATTCATTTGTCTGGTTTCATTATAGAGTACGTTTTTGAAATTCTGAGAAAGCTGGAATAAAGTGGCAGAATACCTGATTATGAAAATACACAAGATATTATAAATCAGCACAGATATCAGCATTTAGCAAATTTGGTTGAATAACATTCACATCTGCCCACACAAACTCTGACCCTAAATGACCCTGAGCAGTAAAGCAGGAGAGTTGCATGCTGGGAAATGTGTAGTCTCTCTTTCACGTTTCTGGGTCTGCGGTTCAGGTTTGCTCCATGAGAGCCAGAATGAATCCATCCTGTCCGAGAGTGCTTTTCTGGAGGCCAGAAGGCAGCTGTGGTCAAAAGAGGCAAATAAGGACACACAGATCAAGGAGGAGAAGAAAGACAAGGAGAAAGATCAGCAGGAGGAAGAGATAAACATGCCTGCATGTCAGTCTCCCACTGTGAAGCAAGGTGAGATAAAGTTGGAGTAAAAGCAGTCAGAGAAGAAGAGTGTACCGTTTCTTTATTAATAAAGATGTGTTAGTTTTGTTTCATTTCTCCTTTCGGTGGATGGATCTGCAGTGTATCTATGTAAATCTTTAATCTGTCAAGACAGAAAACCTAAAATGTAGATAAAATATAAGTACTGCCAATCTGTACAAAGTTTAAATACACTCTGTTGGCAAGACTTGTCTTATCTCTTACATCTGTCATACACCCACTGACACTCTCAGTGCACTTGGCCTGTGGCAGTAAATATAGCTTCCTGGAGCAGCCAATGCTACCGTCATGTTATCCTCATTTTCTTCTCCTAGACCCAGAATATGGAGACAAGGACTCAGGGGCACAGGAAGAAACTCCTGCAGAGATCCTGACCAGATCAGAGCCAGTTAAGCTGTCCTGTACCATTTACACAGAGACGGTTCAGTTCCTGCTGCAGAACACTGCCTTGCAGGTAAAAACATTCATAGTGGCTAACCTGCCACTCACACTGGTAAAATATGAATGAAAACAACCTACAATTCATAGTTCTGCTGTAGTGTCATTATGTGACCCTCTGTTAAGTATAGGGGTAGGAAACCTGTGGCTCTGGAGCCACATATGGCTCTTTAGCCCCTCTGCAGTGACTCCCTGTGGCTTTGACAAAAAATGATATGCAAATGAATAATGGTTTTATTTTATAACTGTTGTCAGATGGTGGAGCATGTGCTGTCGCAGGAGCTGCTGTGGTCAGACAGTGGTCGCAGTGTCTACTATCTTCTTCATCTGGCCCAGTTTCAGCTGCTCAGAGCTGACTATTGCAGTGCCGCTGCCAGCCTAAAGGAGGTGCTGTTTCACAGCAACCAGGTAATCACACTCTGACTACAGGCTGCGACAACAAGTAACTGTGTGGAAAATGTGATATGTATGGTTCACTGCTTCTGTTCTGCTCTATTGGTCTGAGCTGTTTTTAAGCCCACAGTCTGTAAATTATACCATGTTTAAAATGCAGCAAAGATTCACATTTAATTCTGGATTTTTTTCACCTCATTGTTGTTTGTGCAAGCTGACAAAGAGGATTAATATTTAGTATGAGAGAGTTTCCATACAGAGTAATGTAATAGGTATATTATACTTTTTTTTTTTTTACAGATTTTAAGATAAAATATGAAAGTCAAGTTGACCGAGGAAGCATTTGTTCCCCAGATTTTAATGCCTCAGTGCTCCTCAACACATACCTGGATGTTTTCGAAGTAGTTTGATTATATTATAGGGCAAAGTTATTGCAACTGCGTAGAAATGTTACACCTTCCCTAATGAAAAATCATTTTTGTTCCACAGTTTAGTTTGTGAAAAAGCACTTAATACTATAGTAACCATGAGCATCAGCGACTGTTGCTTTGATGGCCGACAAATCCACAAATCAGAGTAGTAGCATATTTAGAACACTTTGTTGTTAAAATCGGGAACAAAACATAATGCTATGGCTGTTAAATTTATTCAAATTGGTCCAAAATCTCAAGTTAATTTATTCACATTTTTGAACTTCCATGAACACTGATAGCAAGAGGGAGTTAGTTACTGTTTCCTTCTGAAAGACTTGTTGGTGAAGCCAGAAATGTACTCTTCCTTGACCATGGTATGTTTGTGAATAAAATACTTTTTGTGAATTATTCTCTTCATTGGCTGTAGGGAACCAGTTAATTTTAATGAAATAATATTTTTTTATTGGTTTTGACACCATAAGCCTGATTAAACTAGCATCTCTTCTGAACACTGACCTGAGAAGTGTTGTCTAGCAGGATGCGGATGTGTGGGCTCTGAATGGTCACTGTCACTACATGCAAGGGGCGTTCAGTGATGCCCAGGAGAGCTATGAGCGGAGCCTGATCTTCCTACGGCAGCCAGCAGACTCCCACATTGTCCTCCTCCGCCTGGGATACATCTACCTCCAGCAAGAGAAGGTCAGATATTAAGACAAGCTGATAGCTTACTCATGTGTACTGTATCTGATGATGAGCCAGGGGATTTCACCTGGTGCATTTCAAGGAAAGACATTTCCCCCCTCATACAAGCTAGGCTCTCACACACCTTTGAAAAACTAGTCATAGTAAGTTTTTTCTAAAATAGCAAAATTGGTCAAAAAGTCGTAAGGTACAATGAGTGTTCCTGGACAAGCTTTTAATTGCAGCACAATTATGATTCAGTTGCTGTTGTTGCTATATGGGAATGTGTATAACTATATGAGAGTCATGCTGCTATAGAACAGACAGAAATGGTTACAGTTATTTTCAAGTTAAAGCACGTCATTATAATTGTAAAAACATCCTGTGTAAAGCCACGAACTACAGTGTAACTAAATCTCTTATGTTTGTGTTTTAAACTTTCAGTTTGACCAAGCCAAAGTTATCTACCTGCAGGCTTGTGAGCAGTCTCCGTCCTGCCTGACTTGGCTGGGCCTGGGCACCGCCTGTTATCGGGTAAAGCTATACCTCCAGCACAAGAATAGTGATAAAAACTATGGTAATCTGAAATTTAAACCTGAATAATTCTGGTTTTGAAAGGTTTTTGAAACTCTTATTTACATGCTGTATCTTGTGACATTAGGGTGTTAACATATTTCCTTACCAGAAGTAGTGGTTGCAAGATTTAAGTACTGTCCTAATTCTAATGTGAACAGAAGCCAGGTTACTCTTGGATGTACTGTCGTAAGCCAACAAGTTGTAAACAAAACAGCTGTGGAGCTGATGGGATAGGATTTGGTTGTGTTTGTGTGTCTGTCTGTGTAGCTGGAGGAGCTGTGTATAGCTGAGGAAGCACTGAAAGAGGCCAACTATTTGAACAACCAGAATGCAGAGGTGTGGGCTTACCTATCTCTGATCTGCCTCAGGGTGAGTGATGATGACACTGTGAAAACACACAAACCGCTCTGCCTCTCTTTACTTTTATATTTCAAGACACGATATAACACAATGACCTTGTCATATCCTCAGTGACTCAACCACTTCAAGTTCTTGACCCACATTTCCAAAGAAGGACACATCTTTGTGACCTACATCATCTTAGCAATGTAGCCCCTGAATTGGGACACAGTTAAACGCAGATTCACCTTTTCGCTGTCTAAAGCAGGCTGCAGAGACCTGAACTAACCTTGTAACAAACCTTTTGTTTTCAGTCTGGCAGACAAGAGGAAGCAGAGCAGTTTTATAAATATGCAACAAAGGTGAGTTAGTCTGGTGTTTTTATCAGTCATAGGGATTTTAAAATGGTGCTGGGAGTAGTTCTGGATTAATATTTATTATCAATAGTGCTGAAAAATCTACAGTCAAAACGTTTTTTTAGTTTATTTTGTTTTGTTGTCACAAACAAATCTATGCCTTTGTATTTACTGTATTTATTAATTTTATCATAATATATTTATTTTACTAAATATGTCCCTGTCATCCAAGATCTATTTGAAAGTCATATCAGTGTTTTCATTTCACATAAAGAAACTCCCATCTGATGAAAACCTTTCCTCTTTTCTTGGTGTACAGTTCAATCTGCAGAAGGAGTCACTCCTCAAAGAGTTCAATGAACTGAAGGATCAGCTCCGCTTCAGTCAGCTAGTGTCATGCTTTGGAACAAGCTCTGAAGCAGGGGTCTCAATCAAATGACCAAGTACATTTCACACGCACATACACATAAACATGTAGCGTCAAATTAACCAACATTTTTAAAAGACATTTTATTGTATTTCAAACATGTTTATGTTGTGACATTTATTGTGAAATGAAACACAGCCGGCTCAGATGCACATGTCATATTTTACAGAGGAGATCAGTAACTGGCCAAGCCATAAAAAAGTTAAACCCTGTTCAACTTCAACATTACAACAAACTTAAAGCAACACAAATACTCTTAAATGTGTATAAAACAACAACAAAACAAAAAAATGCACACAATTAACAAAAGAAAAGAAAAAGGGCATGTGGTGACTGGTATTATCAGAATATTTTTTAGAAAAACCATGATCTCACTTTTCATGTAATTTTTACCATCTGAACAGCAAAACAAGCCTAATAAAACACCCCGGCCTTGTTCTAAGCTACTTTTGGCACAATTTGCTTTGGAAGGAAATGTTATGTGGAATATAATGCTCCTGTCGAATACATCTATAATGCAGGTGTTGCATTGAATGTATTTCTTATGTTAAATTAGCAAATTGGGGTTCTCAAAATGTGGTATTGGAAAATGCATTTCATATATATTTCCTGTACCTTTAAAATACACTGTTTTTGAAGTGGCTTATGTTTTCTCATTGTATGACTTTCAAATGCACACTTTATTGTAACATATTTGCTTCCCATGTGTTTTTATTGTGTCATTTTTACACCAATTCTAGCCTCCGAGCCATCGTGTGCGCTGTTGCAGTGGGATCACTGTCTGACCCGAGCAAACACTTCTCGCAGCCATGGTGAATCCTCATAGAGGCGAGGGTCACCCAGATACTCTGAGGTCCTCTTGTACAAGTAGTAGTACAACACAGAAGCTGTGAACAGAATAAAATATGTTACAAACATACAGAAAATACACTTGTTTCCACCTTTTCAATCAACTTTCGGGACTGTCACTGTCCTGTGTCGACCCACCCAATAACTAACATGGGAAATTACAGCTTTTTATTTAAATTTTCAAATAAGAGACCATGTTAATGTATTGTCTGTTTAACCCAGTTACTACAAACATTGCTTGTTTGAAAATCAACTTAACTAAAAAATACTTCACATCCATCACATTGAGTCACTGCAGTTACAGTTCAGTGGTAATGCAGTGCACACTTCCAATCTCCATTACCAAAACAATGATAACTACATTTAAAAGATAAATGCATAAAAACATGACAAATGTCATTAGTGTAAATACATATATTAATGCCCCGTTTTAGTTAGCAATAATCATTAGGCATTTGCGTGGCTCCTATGTTATGACTTTGCACAATAATTAAGGTTAATTGAGAGATGATATGTAATTGTACATGGACGTTAGCATTGCAAAAACACACAGAGAAATGGGAAATCCCCACCAGCATTTACAACTATGTATAGGATCAGAAAAGTACAACTCAGCCCAGCAGACTTTACAGTGTCTTAAGGTTTGTTCATAATGAAAGAGATTTTGTGAACTGGTGACGTCACACTGAATCACACACTTAGTAACCGTCTGGGTGGGTCTTAAGTAGCAGACAAAACAGAGAGACAAAACGTTTCTACACTCCGTCCTCATACTTAATAAGGGATCACCTACAGAGAACAACAACTAGACAATAAATCCTTTATCCACTTATGAGCTTATACGTGTATGAAAGTCACACCCACATGGCAGTGTGAGATCACTGCCTGGAGCCTGCTGGTATGGACGAACACACTCACTATAAGGGTTACGCTACAGTTTACTTACTCCTTCTATAAATTATGTTTAGACCTGAAAAGCAGCATTGACTCTCTTGTGAATATTTCTGCTCTGAGGGGAAAATTCTTCATGAGTTGAGAGAAAACACAAAAGCTCTGCTGTATTCTGACTCCTGTAAACTGAACATGTGTCAAACTTAAAATATAATTTAGAAGCAATCAAGTTACACCTTGATTGCTTCTCTTGCTTCATTTAAGATTGTTTGTGAATATAATTACTTTTTTTAAAGTCCTTAACATAGCTCTAGAGACAGTAGTAATTTATATATATATGCTTGTTAGGACAGATAAGATGAATAAATATATTTGGTCATCTTACCTGTTCTTTGGAACACAAAGAGCACCTGAAGGCCGTCTGTCCATATAAATCTGTTGGTGTTTAGCCAACGCAGATTCTGTAGAAGATTATACAGAAAATATTAATCATTTTCATGTGGTGGTTTTTAATAAAAATATGTTAAAAAAGGGATCAAAACACTAACATATGTATATTTACTCTATAAAACTATACTGATGGGAAAAATTGACAAGATAGACTACAAAGGCTATAAATGACAAATTAAATATTTCACTGCTTGCAAATTTTCCAGCCACATATTGCTATTTAGTCACATTTTATCAGTTTTTGTAGGATTTTGCTCCTAATGCCTTTTTATAAATAAAGCATAAATATGTGAAATAAAAAAAATCATGTAGTGCATTTGGTTGAAAACTTTATAGCTTTAACTTCAGTTTAAAGTGCACATCACTCAAAGTCTCTGTACACTTTACAAGAAAAAACAACAACAACAGGGGGAGAGAATACACAATATTACATGTAAAAGGAATAAAGTAACATTTAGAAGGACTTAAATAGCATCTCTGCCCATTTGGGCCCATACAGTACGTACCATAAGCCAGGAATGGAGTATGATACTGAAGGTCAAATAGAGAGCAGAGAGCATTAGCAGAGCTCTAAATCGCTCCAGCAATATGGCGACCAGGCCAACCTGGAACACGAAGGTGTTAAACAGCATCAACAGAATGATGATCAGGTTAAACAGGATGGCAATGTCCTGGATACTGTTGAAGAAAGGCATACAGGAAAGGAGAAGATGAGAGAAAAGAAAATATGTGACCAGCAGGAACAAAAAGATTATTGTCTTTGTACAGTGCTATTTAATTTCATCCCAGCATCCCAAATGAGTAATTATAGACATCTAAAGCCTACTATTTTTAGATTTGTTTTCCCCTGAAGTCAGAGTTGATGCTTGGCAGCTGAAACAATGAGTAACTCTTACTTACATGAAAAGTACCAGCTGGACAGCCGGTTCACCCCTCAGCAGCTCGCTGAAGGAGTTGACGAACAGGTCGAAGGAGAGCAGGCTGAGCTGAATCAATAACACCAGAGAGTAGTTGCTGGTTTGGAGCGTCTCCGGCCCGAAGGCTGGGCGCCCGGGCGGATTGTGGTTCCACGATGGATCCAAGGCTGCACTGCACTCGTACAAACACTACATAGAAACATCAATCCACACGCAACAGTCCTGACTGTTTGGAGATCTTGGTGAGATTTTCAAATGGCTCCACTATGATTGCCCAAATGCAGATGATAATTACACACATTAGTGCTCCATGTCTGTTGTTAAAATTAGTCTTGTTTACTTAGGAAAAACTGAAGTCTTTTAAAAATGAAAAATGGACAGTCCGGTTTTGGGATGAGTTTCCTGGAAGTCACAGATGTCAACATGTTACAACTGTTGATTTTTTACAGCTCCAACATGAAGAGATGTGGTAGGGCAGTACAGTCTTTTGTGTGTGGAAATCCTCCAGCATTGTCAGTCAGTGAGTGCAAAGGTTTTCTTGAATCTTCATATCAAAAGTGATGAACACAAAAGTAAATCCTGAAGAGACTCTGTGGAAGGAGATAGCAGAGACACATTAGTATTCTGCTGAAACACATCATGCTGAAAGACTGTATTTACTGTACAGTGCGAGTCTTGTTCTGTTGCAGATCTACAAGCACTTAAAGCATGGATTTAGTGCGAAAGAGAATAAAAAACAGATATTGTTATGTTCCTACCAAACAGACGTGTTACAGAAATTGTCTGATGGAGTGAATCCATTTGACTGCCACACGCTGTGATGAGGATTGGTCCTTATTTACTATCAGTAAACTTTCAACTTGTTTGACCTTATTAATAAATAGAAGCATTTGAAAGCCAGATGACAAAATAAACCTTCACCTAGTGAATCAGACTTTTGAAAGGGAGGGACCTCATGCTTCTAGCAGCAACTCGTGCAACAGTGGTTAAAGTATGACTAACCAAGAACAGTTTGCTGGAGTTAAACATGGACTGGCATGTTGATGACTGAATGCAACTCACACAAGTTGCTATTAACTGTTAAGGAGAGGCTGTACTATCCAAACAACTGGGACTGGCCTTGCTTGATAATTCAGTAGCAGGTCAGTAGTATCTGTCCATGCAAATAATTTGGTTTTTTTTGTTTATATTTTGAGGTATCCATCCGACATATTTCATAGTTCTTGTAAATACTCAAGAGTGACTGGGATGCTGATTTTGGAGAGAGAAGTCCTGTTTTTGTTTTACCTTGGCCTCTTGGATATCTCAAAACCTAAATAAAACCAGAACTATCTGCATGGCTATGTGCAAATAGAGGCAGGTGAGATAGTATGTTTTTTTAATCATTTAGGTGAACCAAACCTTTAAGCACAACAAAAATATACCTGAAATTAATAAAATCTATTTTACTTGGGGGATTTTTGCAAATATCCAGACACAGCTGGCGGCAGCTGAATTACAAACCTTCAAAACAAGCCACAACACATATTAAGATAAAATACAATTACAATTCTACACTAAAAACATTAAACATTAAATCACAGTTTACCGTTAAGTCGAAAAGCAGCTTGTCTCCCAAAAGACATCCTTTCCTGTATATATTCCTTCAGGTTACTTCTCATCCATTACATTAAAACAGACTATTTATTTACTTGCTTGTTATGAATTGAGAAAACAAGTCCTCCTTTCACTACCGTTGCGCCACTGAGAGTATTAGTTAAGTAGGTACTGTAAATCTTTGCCTTGGCTACTCTGGCCTCTTATGAGCCAGGATCACTATCCAGCAGGCTTCCTCACTCTGACACCAGGTGGATCCTCTTATGACCCCCGTATTTATAGCTTGGCACGGCCATGGCAGGTGTGTGGAAGATTAGGTCTACTTCTAAACAGTCGAGCGTCGACCAGAAGTCTACCTATACTTGGAAGCTGTCCCACTGAGATTCTGGGTTAGCAGCCCTACTGGCTCCTGGGCAGAAACTGAGAAAACAGAAAATAATACCAGTCTAAAAAGGTGAGACAGCTTGTTCAAGGTTGTCCAGTGCCGTGGATACACATCTGAGACAAAGAGTCGTCAATTTCTACTCTCTCTTTTTATAAACTGTAATCAAAATATATCAGTTGGTCAAATAATTAATTTTTTAATAATTTTCCTGACAAATATAGTGGTGTAACTTAGAAACCCTTTGTTGTTGTTAATGTGTTCCCAGCTTGTAGTTCTTAGTACTGCACCATTTAATCTTCTTAAGAAACTCCGTAGCAGCTTGTTGCTTCACACAGAAAATATAACGTTATATCCTCCCTTTTACTATTTTAGAATATCAATACTACCATCAAACTGCTGCCTAAAGAAGAAAAAAGTGCATGTACCTGTAAATGAAGGTTGATCAGAAGAGAATGAGGTAGTATCTGTCCAGATGATGCATGTGGCCACAAACAACACACTGTGCAGCACAGATTGTGTCTGTCCTAGTAACAGGTTTTATCCCGCTTCCTCTCTAATAGATGGGCACAAGAGTTTTGTCATGACATACTATGGATTGTGGTTGCTTGTTTACATACACCCTAGTGACAGCATGCTGTAGCTATTACTGAAATGTAGTCTTAAAATAACATAAGCTCCCAATTTGAAAGATGCAATGGTAGAGATTGCATACTGTGATCCTCAGTATATTATAATGTAGTTCAGGTTGTGGGACTTCCTCCAGGGACCTTTTTTGGATTTTTATAAAGAGCAATGTTTTCTTTTCATTTTATTGTGGACTGTATTTCTCAACTCTAATTATGCTACTTATTTGTATTTATTTAACTTATCTCTTATTTCCTATACCGTGTTTGGTACTACTGTTTACTCCTGTAACCCTGAAATGCTGACATGTACCAACCCTTTATCTAAAAAACAATTAAAAACTTGAATGAGAAAAAAACAATAATGCAAAATCCATTTACTTTGTTACATAAAGTTCAGTTCTTTTAACTATGGACTGACATTTATTACAAAGGACAAGAGGTCACGGCTGTAGCTATGTATGAGTAAATGAAGATGGGTTATAAGTGGACACTGAGCTTCTTCAGTCACATTTCCATTCAAGATTACGGTAAGGCTTCTAGGAAGGATATCTGGAGTTAAGCCAGAAGAAAACCACTGCCATCTATTGGTGAATGTGCATTTCTGCACACACAAAAAACAATGCTGCACCATTTACCTGTGCAGGAAACTTGGTGTAACAGTTTTACTTAAATACTGGCTTGTCAAGTACTTAAAAAATGCTGTATTAACATCTAAGTAAAGTGGGCAACTGTCAGATTAGATTAAATCTAATGGTTGGGGATAAGAACTGTGTAATAGTCACATGAACCGACCATAATAGTCATTATAAGATCATCATTGAGTCTTCTGTTTTACTACAGCTTCCTCAGGGAAAAGCCGAGTATTAACCACAGTGAAAAAGACTTTTCCCATGGCAACCATAAAAGAGAGATGGTCCATATCTCAGCCCTTTGAAAATGTTAATTTAACTAAAATTTAATAGAAATTATCCCACTTTCTAGGAACTAAATGAAATGTGTAAATGCTGTAATATGCTGATAGTGGGGATAAAAACCCTCTTCATCAGACTATCACAGTGGTGGAAGAAGTACTCAGATCTTTTAAATAAAAGTAGCAATAGCACACTGTAAAACTCCTGCATTCGAATCTTACTTAAGTAAAAGTACAAAAGTAATCCAAATATATTTATATATATATTAAGTACTCATTGTGCAGTTATAATATTGTATTATAATTATTGATGCATTCATTTGTTCACCACTTTAAAGGTGGAGCTAATTTCAACTACTTTATACACTGTTAGCTTGTGAATTTATCCCCTTAAATTAACCTATTATAATACATCATAATGTATTAGTTGGTTATATTCTGTAGCCTATTAATAATGTGAATCTGCAAAGTAACTAAAGCTGCCAAATAAATGTAAAGGAGTAAAAAGTATATTTCCCTCTGAGTATAGAATGGAAATACTCAAGTACAATTAGCTCTAGTATGTACTTAGTTACATTCCACCCTTGGATTATCAATCAATATTATTGTGAGATAGGGTACAATATGGTAAAAACATCAAAAACATACATTTTAACAAAAAAAATCTATTAAAATCATGCATCAAATGTGACATTTTGGGGGGTTTGTACCACACAAACATGTTTTACTTAAATCTGGAGAACAAGATTTGTAGACCAGGGCCTATCTGCAGCACTACAGTACTTCATTATTCATTTATTGTTTTATATCTTCTATTATATTTTGTATTTTGTAATATTTTTATTTGTGATATTCTTTGTTCTCTGTTTTGCACTACTTTAACACTACTCTATTGCTGCTGTGTCAACCTGAATTTCTCCTAAGAGGGATCAATAAAGGAATATCTTATCTTATTCATTATACTGTGTAGTCACACATCCATGCACTTGGTCACACTGCAGCCCTATTGTGAAGTAAAGATTATTAAAAAAAAATAACAATACACATAAATCCCTGAAAACATGCTTACTTTTCCACAGTATCTGCTTACATCACATAACCATTGCCCCAGGACAGTGAAAAACCCAAGAACCATGCAAGGTGGCCCGGGGTGGAGTCAGCAGCAGCAGCAGCTCCAGCCTCACTCTCTCTACGTGAGCTCAGCATTTTGATTTTTCTAGCCTCCAGCTTCACCCTGCTGTCGGAGAGGCCCTTTATCCAGGGGGGAAGTGGAATAAAAACAGACCACATTTAGGAATAGTTGAACACATTTTTGGTTGCTCTTTGTCGATAAAAATCACAGAAACTGCAGGTAAGTGGGGGGGG